TAAATATTATATATAGATTGTATATAAATAAATGTAAGCTAAATGAGTGCTATATACACATCTTTTCTTGCCTATGACTTATTCCAGTTGCTCAGTACATGTCTGGTGTTGATTACAAAGTATTTTGGGTTTTGCTGTTGCTGAGTACAGTTTCTTAGTATTTATAAGTAGACTTTTGAGGGAATAGCATGTGCAAAAGTGACTGTAAATAATACAGGGATTGGAGGAGAGGGTACGTGCTCCTTTCCTCTAGGAATCCAGTGTCTCTTGCTTTAAACTCTTAAGAACAGAAACAAGTTAATGATCTTAATGCCAGAGTTTGAACAGGTGACTCAGAAACTGCGTTTATATCCCTGAATCTAGAGTAGATCTGCAATTTTGAGCTGGCTTTGCCGAGATGGCTTTTAAATTCCGAAAGTGAAAAATGTGCGTTGAGAAGCCTTGGACCCCTACCTCTTCCGTGTGCGCTATTCCTGTAGCAGAAACCAGTGATAAGTCCTTTAACTTTGCATTGAGTGGAAAGGGCTTCGCTCTTCTATCCCAGCAATGTGATTTGCACATGTCAAAATTGCTGAATAAATATTCCTGCTGCTTGCTGCTTTCTGGTTGACCAGCCCAAGGGACCAATTTTGTTTTCTCTTGACTCCTCTCATTAGCTATGACACTTGGGTTCATGCCAATGAAATTGATGCTGAAATTGAGGATCCTCCAATTCCTGAAAAGCCATGGAAGGTAAGTCTCTCTCAAACAGTTTCCCAAAGTTACTCTATCAGTACAGCTCTTGCTCAGGTGCTGTGTTAGGTAGATGTTTGAACGTGCTGCTGCATAGCAGTGGCTCTATTTCCATATATACAGAAAAGCAGCGTGGTATTTCTAGAGTCATCACAAAAATGTCCAAAACGTCTCCAAAATGCTGTTGAAAAAATACTTTATTTTGTGAGTGAAAAGGACAGACTTATGCATCCCTGATAGTGCCAAAATTACCACGTTTATTCTGGCCTGACCTGAGGGGTTTTGTGTTAAAGGTATGTCCTTCCCGTACTGCTGAAGGGCAGCCGTCTCTGGGGTGAGGACTCATTAGAAGGCATAATGGCATCATGCGGTGTTTAAGGAGAGGAAGTGGGGAAAATACTTTATCTTCATGATGGTTTGGGGGTTCTTTTTTAATATTGTTAGAGAAAAGAACTATCGGGTTAGAAATGTGAGGTTATCGCACGCATGTATTACAGGGCTTAAAACGTATTTTGTGTGCAGAATTAAGAGCTGGATCATATGGAAATTAAGAAGCTTCTTTACGAGAACAAATCTGAATTTTTGAAGTCTGTGGTATAATTGAAATGTTGCTCTTCTCTTTGAATTACTGTAATGGCAGCTTTATTTCCAGCAGAGCCAGCTATTGGGATCAAAACAGAGCTGCGGTCTGGCTGACAGATTGTTTGTGGCCGTGGGCTCCCCCTGTCCCCTGGTTTCATACTGCTGTGGAAACTCTTGAGTTTGTCTTAGCTCAGCACCACCGCAGATACCAGCTTCTGTATGCTTAGTACAGGGCACGGTTCAAGTTTCTTGATTTTTTTACTAAATTTGCCAAAAGCCTTGGCGTCGCTAAAGAACTGTAGTGTACGAGTGCAGCTGTCCCTAGAGTTAGAGCTGCGTGGCTGAGGAAATCGGTAGCTGTTCAAAGAGACTCTGAGGGTCGTGTCTCACCCTTCTGCGTGGAAAGGTTCCCTTTGACAGGAACTCAGCTCTCAACTGATGTTGCCAGCGCGTTTCAATGTGTTGAACATCACATGAGCATTCAGACCAACATCAGCAGCCTTATTCAGGTTTTCTACCTAATTAGCTTTCTTTCTACAGAGATGACTTGTCTCTGATTTAACTCATTGGAAGTGAACAATACAGAGCAGTTATAATCGGACAGTCGTAAATACTGCTTTATTGGCCCTTTATTGAACTTACTCCTTTGTACATAACACGTGATGTTGTTCTCTGTGTATGCTGTTGATGTGAACAGCAGAGTTAAAGAGCAGCTCAGGTCATAAAATAACTTGATATCTATTCAAACACTACTTACTTGGTCCAAGCAGTTACCTGTAAATAACTGGAACAAATAGGCTTTTTTGTATAAATCATACCAAAGCTAAAGAATTTATTTTCATTATTCAGCCATGTAAACTAGAACTTTATTTGAAGATGGATATTTTAAGATAGTCAATCTTTTCTTTCCAAGATATGGCCAGCTCTTCCTATTTTTTGTCGTCTTTGTGACACAATATATCTGCTAAGGTGATCTGTCTTCTACGTAGATGATTTTGATGGTGATTTTCAGCAGCCGAAGCAAACTCTTAATACAGAGCCATTGTTCCAGAGAATTGACCTCGTGCTTCAGAAGGCTTAGAGATGACTGAGGAGCAGACGTGGTGTTCACTAGACCTGTGGGCATGTTCATCCCTTATTATGTTGCCTCATGAAGCTGTCATCTATTATGTGTAAAGCCATTACCAGATACTGGGAAGTTCAGACCTTGATAACAAAGCTGCAGGTGTTTCCTTCATGCAATTAGGTCTATCACGGAGTTTTTGTTTGAAAAACCATCAGCGTGGTGATACATCGTTCTGTTCTTTAGGTTCACGCCAAGTGGATTTTGGACACAGATATATTCAATGAATGGATGAATGAAGAGGATTATGAGGTAGATGAGAACAGGAAATCAGTGAGTTTTCGACAGAGAATCTCCATGAAAAACGAAGAGGTAGGTGATTCTCTGCTTAGTGAGTGACCTGTTGATACACTAATACGCTTCATCTCTGTGTAAGTCAAATTTTTTGGCACTCAAAGTTGCTAAAATTAAGCCAGTTAAACAGTTTGAGGTGCCTCTGATAATGCAGTCTAGTTAAACGTTTTCCTGACGTACATCCTTTACCCAGAAGTGTAAGTGTGCCCTTTGATTTTTAGTTCTTCCCCCCTCCCTGAGCATGGTAAGAGAGGAACCCACTCTGCTTTCTCATAGCTCAAGCCATGGGTTTGTTAAACAGCATTGGTTAATATTTGATTTCTGAATTCTCTGTACCAAAATACTTGTTAACTAATATTTGTATGCCTCCCAATGCAGGAAGTTAATTAGGACTCTGAAAACATGTTGCTTTAACCTTGAGGCCAGGCTGCTCACTGGGAAGCCTCTCCTGGTGTTAAGGGTATATTGAACAACTCACATGTTGGCGTTTGAATCTCGCTTTGTTTTAAAAGCGCAGTTCTCAAGAACGTAGCCATTGCAGCGTCTGGGGGGCGGCTGCAGAAAATGTACGGGTTTTCATGTTGACTAATGGAAATATTCTGGAGCTGAATGTGGTGCGTGTTGTGATATTATTGCTTTTAGCTTCTCTCTTGTAGGATGTATTAAAGAAGAGCGTAGCCTACAGCGTTTCAATAACTGTAGTATTTGGGATGAGCTAACTCCTTCACTTCTCTGACAGCCTGTACGTAGTCCGGAGAGGAGAGACAGGAAAGCAGCAGCAAGTACAAGGAAGAGAAAGCATTCTCCTTCTCCACCCCCCACTCCTGTGGAGTCAAGAAAAAAGACAGGGAAGAAAGGGTGAGTGTCTAAGTCTTGGAGTTTGAGGCTCACTTTCTTTACAAAATACTTGTGGGGTGATCTCTGTCATCTCTCGCTTGTCTCGCCTTGGATTACAATAGAATAATTATTTCTACAGTAGACTTGTGTGATTTTTTTTCTTTTGCTTGTGCAGTGTATGTAATTTCTTTACTCCTCTGCAGAAATGTATTGCCTGCAGGTGGAGGAGAGTCTAGTGCAAGTTGTTGTGTCATCCGTCAGTGATGGGGTTCACTGCATCAGGAGTAGAACTTACCAAATGAAAAGTTACTCAGCTGCTTCTAAAATAGCTCAAACTAGTTCTGTTAGCGCAGTCGTGTAGTACATGTACACTTTTTGAGGTATAGCCCCATAAATTACTGCATTTGATTGAGGAGGTTTTTATCTACATAGATAGGTATTTTAAAGTCCACTTCTTGAATGCAACTTTAACCAAGTAGTGTTCGTGATTACAGGTGGCCTACAGATTGGGGGGTTTTCAGTGGTAGTTTGAGCTCTGAAAAAACAAAAGGCTGGTATTCTATCCAAATAAGAGCTTATTTGTGGGAGTTCATGTGTGGGTATAGAGGGGAGCACTTTTGAACTAAAAATCCGGGTCTTCTTTATTAGACCTGTTGGGCTCTGCTAAGGCAAGACTGGAAGTTTGTCTGAAGTGAGAAAGAATTGGTTCATAATCTGAATTAATTTTGTTCCAAATGTAAAGTCTGAGTTAGATTCTGTCAGGAGAGGCGTGGCTGATGCTGCCTTTGTTCCCGAAATGGCTTCCCCGGTACGCAGATAGCTCGTAGCAGCCAGCCTTTTTTGTTAAATAAGGCAGCATGCCTTGAAAAGGTCTGTTGCCTCTTCTGTCCTGCGCGGCAGATGCCATTATTGCAACTTTTGAAAGGACAAATGTAAGTGAATCACTGCTCCCTGCAATCTCACTAGCATGCAAGTGCTGCTGGCGTGCTGGAGACAGTTTTGGGTTGGAATTAAGACTTATATACAGTGGTGATCTCCAGTCTGGAAACAGTGGAAAACAACATTTTATTTTATTTATTAATTTTTTTAAACTTACTTTGTTTTAGTAATATACAGAGGATATTTTTCATTAACTCCACCAGCACCACTTCCTACAGCATTCATGTTTTCATAAGTGTTTTAACCCAGTCCTTTAATCCTGGTATCTGAAGAAGAACGTCAAGATGAGAACATCTGACAGTTGCAGCTGGCACAGAATTTGTTTGATCTCTTTTAGACAAGCAGCCTTGTATGGGAAAAGGAGAGGGCAGAAGGAAGAAGATGAGCAAGAAGACCTTACAAAGGACATGGAGGATCCCACGCCAGTACCTAATATAGAAGAAGTGGTACTTCCCAAAAATGGTAAAATATGCATAACTGGATTGTTTGGATGTTAAAACAATTGCTTAAACTGCACTGAAAAAAATACACATGTATTTTGTCAGATCTTTGAAATACTTTGCAGCCATGGGGCCAGGTGATCTGTGCCCATCCAAATTTCTCTAGCCAGGGACTTGAATGTGACAGCTGAGAAGGGCAGCAGATTCACCTTGTTTTGGCTTTTTGGAATAACATGTACAAAAATCCACATAAACGTTTAATTTCCCCTATTTTAGGACTACACTCACCCATTACACAGAGTTCATGTTTTGGGGTATGGAGTTTTCTGGAGGAAAAGAATTGTATGCCAAGTACCCAAGATAAGCGCCTCAAATGAGTGGAAACTCTAAGAACATCCCAAATGCATTCAGTGCTTAATCATTTCCAGAAAAGTGTTGATCTGTGCAATACCTGTTAAGTCAGACAATAATTCCTTCTATTAAGTCCTTGACACCAAACCTTTTTGGGTGTCACCCCGTTTGGTTTTTACCTGGTTTGAACTTGCACGTAAGAATTGTTACATGTTGTACAGGTGGAGAAAGTACGGTACTTAGTCCACTAACCGCATGAATAGAAGCTGCTTTGTGTTCAGATGTGAAATTACAGAGAAGTGAAACAAACGGGCTGTTGTACTTAAACTGCACAGATGAACTCTTTTGAACTGCAAAGACATCACCAACAAAACTGTTGATAAGATAGTAAAAGCATGCTAGACTTTGTCTTGTCTGAGAGTTACTCATCAGAGTTTCAATCTTGCTTTTGTAGTGAACCCAAAGAAAGACAGTGAAAACACGCCTGTGAAAGGAGGAACGGTAGCAGACCTCGGTAAAACAAACACACTGCACCCTTCAGCACCCCCTCCCCTAAGCTTTATAGTAAAGTCTTGTTTGCAGGCCAACAGAATAAGTATTTTTAAATCTGTCAATTTTAAAAGGAATCTCTACTATTTTATTGAATTAATTCAGGTTTCATATGTGTTTGAGTTGAAACATTGACTCTTTCATTTGCCAAGGCTGTTCCATTATAGGCACTTTATTTTTAATGACATACAAGCTCTTTCCTGGTAGAATTTTTCTTTTCTTGCTGGGAATCAAGGTGAATCACCGGTTCCCTGAGCTTTGCTAAGCCTTTGACATGAGAGATACAAACTAGTGTCCTGTATCCTATTATCCGAGGCTACATCTAGGGCACTGGGAAAGGCAGTAATTAGGTATGGATTCCTAAGTGTGGAAAAATTCTAATTATCCTTCCTCTGTATTCTTATCTGTTCCCTTGGCTGGGATGGTTGAGTGCCTGCATAAGGATGAGATGGCCTTAATGATGTGTGGTCCACTTTGCTTTCCTCCTCGCTTCCCTTCTAAAACAAATGAAATACTCTTCCCAATTAAGCAATTGTGTTGCTCAAAAGGCTTATGAGCAATTGGAGGCTTTTTATTAGTGTAATTCTCGATGCTTTTACCTTTCAGATGAGCAGGATGAGGAGACAGTGGCAACTGGAGGAAAGGTAACAGCAGCCATTTCTTTAGGTTTGGTAGAAACTGAGATCATGGAATCACAGAAGGGTTTGGGTGGGAAGGGACCTTTCAAGGTCATCTAGTCCAACCCCCCACGGGCAGGGACGTCTTCAAGTAGATCAGGTTGCTCAGAGCCCCGTCCAACCCGACCTTGAATGTTTCCAGGGATGGGGCATCTGCCACCTCTCTGAACAACCTGTGCCGGTGCCTCACCACCCTCAGCATAAAAGAATTTCTTCCTTAGATTTGGTCTGAATCTCCCCTCTTTTAGTTTAAAGCCATTACCCCTTCTCCTATCAAGATCTTCATCTCCTCTTTGGTAACTTAGCCTGTAATGTTTTTCAGGTGATATATAAGATTAAATTCATTACTGGTAGGAATGTTGGCTTGCTATTACAAAAATTCTACAAATGCTGTGAGATTATTTTGTATTTTTGAATCTAGTATATCAAAAATGAGAATGAGGAGACAGATGCAAGGTATTTTCAAAGAGGCGTTTTTGAGGTGCAAGATTTTTCAAAGGTTATGCTTTTTCTTTAGGTTTCAGAACTAAATCTAAACGCTGGATAGGCTTCCTGATGACTTTAATAGAGTTGCTGGGGTGGTTTCTGTGTTGAATTGCATTGTTGGCACGCCAGGCACTATCTGTAACTAGTATATGATGGCTGCCTGATCACGCAGGTAAGAAGAGATCACGTCTGTGAGACTCACACAGCTGCAGACCTGCACAGGCACAGACGTTTGGATGTGTCCTCACTTACACACATAATCAAGAAAATCGGACTTTCCGTACTGACGTATTTCTAGTTCTCCTGTATTTCAGTTCATACGTCCCAGCTGTGTATGTTTTCAGAAATGCTCAAAAATCCTTTCCCATGTTTTCAAATGGGGAAAGATAACAACTCTAGGTCTGCAAACCGCCGACTAGCTGATAAGCGACCTGTCTGGTAGGATTTAGGCGCAGGTATCACACTGAGGAGCGGTGCGTCAAGTATCTAGGTACAGTCGTGTGAACAGAGATCACCAAAACACGGTTCTTAGGCAAGCACTGTTTTCCAAGTTAGGGAAACCAACTTGGAGTGTGGCAGTGGGCTTTTCCAGTGTGGGAAATACTTTTTTTTTTTTTTTTCTCCCCCCTCTGGTGTAACATCTCCATCCCTGGCACTGCGGGACTTAGGCAGCAACCTTAGTATTTGCTCCATGTTAGATTGGCAGAGGTTTGCTTTTTATGTCCTATGCTTAATGGTGTTTTGGGGAGTCTGTGGTCTGTTTCTCTGTTCAGTGAATGCATTTTGAGAGGAGAGGGGTGTTGGAAGTAGGGGGGATGATGAGAGGAAGGACGACTTTTCTGCATGGTTAGTGTCAGATCACTAAATACATTTAGAATGATACCTTGTTGTCTTGGGGGGAATTTAGTCCCCAGAAAGATACATCATCAATACCAATGGCCCTTTAAGGTCTTGCTTTAGAGCATTGGTTATTTTTAAGTCTGTTCTGTTTCTGTGAAAGCTGTCTGGATTAGTAATTCAGGGAAAGAAAAACATTTAACGTTGAGTTGCCTGCCAGCTTTTCAAATGGCACCTGAGGTTTTCTAGTAGAGTTCATATCACATCCTGACCCTCCTTCTGTGCTACCTCCATACCCTTCTGTTTATCATTTCGGATCAGAAGTGAACGTGTGCTGGAACTCAGAGCACCTGGAGTTCACGGGAGGCTTCTGTTGTGAAGCAGTAGAAAGTGACCAAAGGCTTCTCCTCTGCTTTTGGGAATCTTATAAAATCTCGGTGACGGATGTCCTCACACCTCTACGTGAGCAAACTCATGGGTCTGTTCACACCCTGAGTGGAAGCACACACAGGGACACGCAGAGTTACAAGTTGCACTCAGTGTCTCTCTTCCACAAGAGAGAAAACCCCAAAACCAGCTTTAAAATTGATCAAAGTGAGTTTATCCAAGCAAAAATCCAGGGTAATGAGACACGGTGTGGCAGACATGAAACTATTACTGCTGACAAGTGTCTCCCAGTGAAACTAGAAGTAATGAATCTGATTTCCTTTAATGCTCTTCTGAGGAGCGAGAAGGTTAATGGGGGAAGAGTGGCAAAACATACGACCCGTCTTAGACGATATTGAGAGCTGGTGCGGTGTCAGTAACTGGAGATGGCAGCGAGAGCTCGGCTGACAGCTCACAAAGTGCTCTAGATTTGTGCTGTATTCGTCACACGTGGCTGCAGTATACTGCAGAATTGAAGTGCAGCGTTTTCTCCCATAGAGCATGCTTAATTTTACAAACAGGATGCAAAGCGTGATCTAACTGTACTGCAAGTACATCCTTGAGATTCTGAGAGCTGACTCGGTGAAAACTTCTTACTGGCCTTATGCTTGCTTTAATATTTTCAGGAACACAGATTGCACTTTCTCTGGTCCCTGAGATTTTCCCTATTGAGCAGAGATTGTATCAAGAAAAGTTTATTCTGCACAGGATTGGAAAGCACTTGTTTTGGGCAAACTTTGCGCTGGCTGAGAGTTGTTAGGTATGTCTCTTGTAACCTACTAACCGTTGTATTCCCTCCATGATACAGGAAGATGAAGATCCTAACAAAGGCGATCAAAGTCGGTCAGTTGATCCAGGTGAAGATAATGTCACGGAACAAACCAACCACATCATTATTCCGAGCTATGCATCTTGGTTTGACTACAACTGGTAAGAAAATAATTGGGACTGGGAAAAGATTTAAAGTTTTGGTGGTTATTTCTCAAATCAGGCTGAGCGCTGAAAGAAATGACTCCTGTTTAGGTCTAGTTCCCATGTGTGGGTACATCTTTTCCATTTACAAATCCTTCTGAGCTGACTTCTGGCGATTTTCAGGGATTGGGAATGGGGAAGAGAATTTCAAACAGCATAGATCTCCAGTTGACCTTCTCAGCATTTTTTGCTTTACATTGATTTCCCCCGCACACCATGGGAAAATAAGTCCCTTCTCTTCCCTACTTCTTTAGTCCTTGTATGATCTTTCTATGTTTGTATCTACTTCTGAAAGCTGGTGGGTTTTTATTTTGCTTCAGATCTTGACTTTGAGGATAAGTCACTGATTATACAGGGATATATCTTTGTTTCATTTGGGAATCCTCCATGGAGACAGAGGTTTGTGGTGTGCTGTGACCAAGTAACTCTCTATAGTAACCCTAATATTCTCTGTATACTCAAACTTTTGTGGTGTGGAAACAGAAGCAAGTGATTGGGAATGAAAATTTCTCCAAGTTAGACTCTGATGTAGTATTTTTTTAGTATTATTTTTTTAAATACTGCTTTGGAAACAGAATAAGGAATAGTCAGTTGCCTGGATTGTCTGTCATTTGAGCATGCATTTTTGTCTTGGCTCTAGGAGTTGAGACATTGTTTAGGCTGGAATCTAAAAAAATGTGCTATGACGCTTGAGCATTAGGATTGAGCATGTGCAACTTTCACAAGTGGACAACTTTTGTTAGTAGTAAATTAAGGTGACAACTGTAAGGATTGGTGCTCTGAATACTTGCTTTCTGAGGTGAGGCCGTACTGTGTTCAGTTTTGGGCCCCTCGCTCCAAGAAGGACATTGAGGTGCTGGAACGTGTCCAGAGAAGGGCAACCAAGTGGTGCAGGGTCTGGAGCACAAGTCTGATGAGGAGCGGCTGAGGGACCTGGGGTGGTTTAGCCTGGAGAAGAGGAGACTGAGGGGAGACCTGATCATTCTCTACAACTCCCTGAAAGGAGGGTGCAGCCAGGTGGGGGTCGGTCTCTTCTCCCAAGGAAGAAGCGACAGCACAAGAGGAAACGGCCTCAAGTTGTGCCAGGGGAGGTTTAGATTGGAGATCAGGAAACCTTTCTTCCCCCCAAGGGCTGTCAAGCCCTGGGACAGGCTGCCCAGGGCAGTGGTGGAGTCCCCGTCCCCGGAGGGATTTCAGAGCCGTGTAGATGTGGTGCTTGGGGACATGGGTTAGTGGTGGGCTGGGCAGTGCTGGGGTAACGGTTGGACTCCGTGGTCTTAAGGGTCTTTTCCAACCCAAACGATTCTGTGATTCTATGAAAAGCTCGAGGTGTAGTTCTGTACACAGAATGAAACGCTCCGCTGATGCATTTCATAAAGGGATAAAGAGCTGTGGAGCTCCTGTGGATCAGGAAAGGCAACTTTGCGTAGCTCGAGCTAATTGAGGTTTACCTTAAGCCAAGGCAGGTATATCTGTAGTCTCTGTGCTTCAGTTCCTTGTTTGTAAAATGAAGGTATAATAATACTTCCCTACTGAGAAAATTGCAACGGTGATGACATTTCGTCATGAGATCACTCTTATGCTATTGTACAAGTACATTTTGGGAGCGGCTGGCTAATAACGGTTGGTCAAAAACTCCCAATTGGTGCATTTGTAGTAGCAGCAGGAGTTGTAATGGCGCTCCCGAGAGGTAAATCTGGCTGTGAAACACGACTAAAAGACTAATGAAGTATTTCTGAGCTGTCCAGGGTTTCGGCTGGGATAGAGTTAATTGTCCCCAGGAGCTGGGAGGGGACACAGCCAGGGTGGGTGACCCAAACTGGCCAAAGGGATATTCCCTCCCATATGATGTCATGCTCACTCTATAAGGGGGGAGCTGGCCAGGGAGGGCAGAACAGGCTGTGTATCACCCACTTTGTCTGTTCTGTTCTCAGTCCTGTTGCTGTTCTTCCCCTCTCCCTTTGCTGTCCCAGTAAACTGTCCTTACCCCAACCCACCAGTTTTACCTTTTTTCTCCCATTCTCCTCCCCATCCCGCCGTGGTGCTCAGCTGCCAGCTGGGGCTGAGCCACGACACTGAAGAAAGAGAATAAACTTCATTTTGCATTAGGCGTTCCTGTTCCGACCTTGTAAAAGGCTACCTTAAATCATCTCTGATGGGAGCAGTGGACGTCCGCAAGGTAGCGGGATGATGTGATTTAGATCCTGGTGCTCCAGAAACAGCACGTTAAGCTGATTTGGATTTGAGGCTGAAATAACGCACAGCTGTGAGACTGACATTTTTCTGTCTCTGGGCATTTTTTCATTTAGAAATAGTTTTTTGGAATTCTAGAGAACCAGAGAGCATATACAGAGCAGTGCCCAACCTCAGACCGCAGGTGCTGCTGCTCTTGCTGTGCCAGCAAGATGCTTCCTGGGATGTGTGAATATACAACCAAACCACTGTCTGCAGCCCCCCAAGCTGGAAATATTTCTTTAATGTGTCCAGTTGCAACTAATTTAAAGCAAGATGAAGAATAATCCTAATCTGCTTCTCAAAACATTTTATAAACTGCTGTTTTAGAATAGTCCTTGCTAAAATTAATGTTTTACTTAGTAAAAAGATAAAATTTATTTAATGCTCAATTCAGTTTCGTTGTAATCTCTTATGCTTTGGGTAACTTCATTGTGAGAACTAGATAATTTGTTACTACAACCTGAACGGTTTATTGGTTAATCTTCATCTTCAAGTTAGAGTATTTTCTTAGGAATGGCAATTTAAGAGTAAACGGTATCAGTGTAAAAGGACAATTACATGGTAGGTTAAAAGCTGAACAGATAGGAGGAAGGCAGATTTGTAAAGGATAGATCTTTCTGTGTTTCCTTTAAAAGTAACAGTTTTTAAAGGACTGTTGTAGTTCTCAAGATTTTTAACGTGCAGAAAGTGTGTGCTGTTCTACAACCTTCTGTCTTAAGTTAATCTAACAAGCCATGCGTTTCTGGCACTTGCTATAAATGGAAATTTTTTTAATCTTGAAGCAATTTCCCTACTTAGTAATAGGTGGGTTAAATCTTAGGGCCCTCAAACACTTTCCATATTAAGATTGGGGAAAAAAAAAAAAGTTGACTAATCAAGGTACGTATATTCTGGCTGTTTACATGATAATTTTTCTCTGCAGTCCAGGTGCTCTTATATCATGCTCTATGGCATGGGTTACACATGATCGTGTTGATTTGTTGCTGATAGAACTCCAAGGGTGCCACCACTGTGCAATTAAAATGTTTCAGGACCAAATTTCTTTATGTTAAAATAAATCGTATCACTTCTTCCAGTCTTTTATTTAGCAAATAGGAGAGTGGGATTTTATCAGTTTCTGCAGTGTCTTTTACATTGTCAGGCTGGTAGTACTGCAGATTGGAAGATTCTACTAAAAGAACATAAATACTTCACATGGAACAGCTATGGAAGGGGAAAAAAAATTAATGTATCTGTCAAATAACTAATGTTGAATTTCAATCACAGAACCCCAGAGTGGTTTGGGTGGG